CATAATTACATGTGATGACTAAGTAATGATTACGATAGCTTTTTTCTTACCTGCCAAGTCATTATGTTATAATCATCACATGCATAATTACAACATAATGACTTGGTAGGTAAGAAAAAAGCTATCGTAGTCATTACGATTAACACGTACTAAACACATTGTTGTCCCATAGAGAGAAACTGCTGATGTATCGCAGAAAAAGAACGCGCATTTACCGAGAGAGGTAAGGTGGGTGCGCTGTAACTATAACATGCATAGTTCAGTTTAACATGATCGCTTTGCAGGTAAGTAACAAGCTATCATAGCACCATAGAATCACACCCACTAAATGAAATTTGTCTCAAAGAGAAAATATAGATATTTCGCTGGATGCAGAAAGAAAGAACGCACGCTAGCTGAAAGAGGTAAGACAGGTATGTTGAAGTAAATAACCACAATTAACAAGATCGTTTTGCAGGTAGGTGAAAGACTATGAACGCGAAGAATTTTTGTTCAAAATAGGGGAAATGCTGACATGTTGCATGAATCTGCAGGAGAGAATTGGGACAATTTAGACGATTCAAATTTGTTTAATACGTTGAATTATATTTGCATCTTAGCTCCAGTTAAAAAGTACTACGTGATTCAGTTGACTTCCTCAGCTTAAGAGCATTTTCAGCAGAGACAATTGCAGTGTATTCCAGTCAAGTCCCAGTCATATGCTGTACCCTTCAGTGAAAACTACTCCGGCTGCAGATCAGTCTAAAATCCAGTCGAGAGCAGTCCTGTCGAGTGTATACCGACTACTTACAGGGCAACTCAGTCCAAAAAGAGCTCAACAGTCTGGTCCAATAAAAGAAAAAATATATTTATCGCCGAATCTGGTATGGTCCAGTCCGATTCAACCTGTCCTTTGCGGTGACGTCCACCAGTCCAGTGAGATAAATCAAATGAATCTAGTGTCCATCTGTTGGCAACTTTGCTGTCCATTTGAATTCAATCAAGACTTATGCAGCACCCTCTTACAAAACTGTCTTCACTTCGGCAGTCCAGTCCAGGGGAACCGTAGCAGTTCAGTCCAAGGCAAGTCCAGTCCACACTAGTGAATAACAATCCAGCGCAGTCCAGCTAAGCACAGTCCACCCTAGTAGAGGCCAATCCAGTACAGTTCAGTTTGATGCAGCTTAGTCTTGTTCAATCCAGTCACGCCAGTGCACCATCTCGCGCAGCGATTCATTCTGCGATGTCCTCTCTAAGCAGTCCAGTCCAGTCCCGTTCAGTGAGTGTCCACTTACTTCCTGCTCGGTGAGGTATTTCTTTCTGTTTGTTTGAATTTATGAATCCATCAGTTAAACAGAAATGTATAAACATAAACATTAAACAAATACATATATGGCTCAAATAAATGATAAAAAGTAATTCCTACTAAATACAAATGATAGCATAACAAGTAAAAAGTATAAACCAAACAATAAAAATCTGATAACAATGGTAAGCTTGATTGATAACCCAATTCATAACTTGAATAAATATCAGATTATTACATAATTAATAGGAACTATGACATTTATTGAATTATCACTAGCAGTTATATCGCAATAGATTTAGGTGCTGTCAAAGAAGTTTTCCAGGTTTGTCTCGCAACTCCATCGCTATGAAGACACCAAGAGACCGAAGCACATGTGTAAGCCAACGTTGTGTTGGCGGGAAAATTTGGTTGACTTTAATAACACTGAATGTCAGTAGACCTGGAATGGAGTGCTTTACGAGATGATCGCTAAACATGCTCTGCTTCTACTGGAAGGACAATCCATGACCAAGACGCAGCGTAAACACAGGTATTGATTACATTTCTGGGTAACTAGAAATTAAAAGAAAGGTTAAGGCGAGTTTCAGAGGTGTTGTCGATAATATTGCATCGATTTGTCGTCATTTTTCAGCCCTCAATTGAAGACCGACTTGGAAGTGTCGAACTGTCATAATGTGAAAGAGGACTGGACCTAGTTTGGTTAATTGTCAAGCTTCCATCGGATAACACAACAAAGACAATGACCCGAGTGACAATCTTTAGTTAGTAAGACATATAATACATCAAACTTCCGATGAAAACTCTGTCTGGTCGAGACCCTACAGCTGATATACAATAGCGTGTGAATTTGACATGATAACCTAATATTTGAAATTCTTTTTAAATTTTTTTCGTGTTTAGTGAGTTTTTGCATCGTGGATTCTTACGGAGAGAGAGAGAAAATTGTTGAGTGCAACCTCTTTCACGGTGCTTTTTCCTAGTATACTGAGGCTGGAAACCATTTCAATCATTAGTTTCATTCCTATTGCGCATTAAGGGAATTTTTTTAAGCGTTTTTTGAAGCTTAATTTCTTGCACTGCCAAAATGTTGGGAAAAAACTTTATTCGTTTTCAATTTTCGGATGAATTGAATCAAATAGCTACCTAAGCTATCGAGTTCAGTTCTGGGTAGAAATGTAATTGCTCGTAATCTGCCACATCAATCCATCCATATCATGTTTGTTTTTTCACAGGTAAGATTAAGTTCTCATTTATGAGGTCATATATATACGATCATCACCCTCTGTTCCATCCAGTTTCTGCCATTTTAATCCATCTCTCTGACGTTCTTTTCTTATGTTTTCTTTTTTTCTCTTCCATTTAAGTTCTTGTTAATGTCGTCATGATTTTCACCATTATCCCTCCATCTTCATAAAAACTATTTGTAAAGTTCATGATTATGATTTAATGTGCTCATGAGACTATGTTAATGTGTACTACCTTCAATAGTTTACTTTTCAAAGGTTCATGCTTGCCTCCAGATCTCCTGAAACCTGCCTTTGAACAACATTTAGAAAAGGGAACTTCTAGTTTATGTAGTTGATTTGGCAGAATGAGAGTACTTATTGATCTACCCAATGGCTTAGGACTCGTTTTTTCGGCCCGGTCCTCAATCAAGCAAGCAATGTCCGATATCACTTGTTTGTTATTTTTTTTTATTTGCTCTTACATCATTCAAACAGAATTGCAGATGTTAGAACCAATTAAATTTACAGTTTTGCGAAATCGAGCGCGCAAAATGTTGTTAAGTTTCGTGGTCTCTCTGAAGTTCAATCTCATCTTATCTTCACATTTTTTGAAAAAACATTTTGCTTTTTTTCCACTCAGAATGCTATTTTAAAATGACTCAGAAGTTCCATACATATAAAGGTTATAAGGTTATTATAAGAGGAAAGGTCAGGAATTTTTAAGAGTAAATTTCGCACCATCTGCGTGAAAGCTCGGTAACAATACAAGTTGTGAAGTCTAACTATTTACTATTTACGTCCATGGAGGAAATTAGATTATTTTTTTAATTCACGGAGAGAAAAGCAATTCAAGGGCAATGAAAAAGTAGCATAAATACAAGACTTGAATTTCAAATTTATTATAAATCGATCTGTAATTTTTTTTACCAATTCCTCTTTAAAAATTAAATTATACTGCGGTAAGGAAATTGGCACTTGGAACATTTTGAACTCTTTGCTCTAACAGCTGTACTTTCTAATGCTAACATATAATTGCCACTAAGCCAGCAAGCCGATGCATGAAGAGTTCTGAATGTTCCTTACACTGCTCTATATTGTACTTTGGCAGCTGAGACCGGCTGACTTTATTTGGAGGCTTCGTTCTGAACTTACTGAGAAGCATGATTTAATGTGAAATTCAAGTCTTACAAAGAGTGGGGTGTTGAGTTAATTCGGTACAGAAGTAATTTTTTTTTACATTTGTTTGTAAAATAGTCAGATAATACTCAAAATAAATAATTAAAAGACAAAGACCATGTCAGTAAACTTGGTTTTAAAATAATAAAATCGAATACGTTTTCGGACAAGTACTGTGTTTGATTTTTTGGGTGCTGAAAGTTTATTTCATTCGATTTACAAATAGAAAATTAGGATACAAGAGAAAAGGTAGTAGATCTGTAGACAGACGAGCTAAGAAGTCAGCGGATGATTATCAGAAGAGTAACCTGAAGATCTGAACTTATTTAAGTAAATTTGCTACGCTTTAATGAAATAAAACTCTATCATCGTTTTGATAATGTTGTTGAAATAAAGAATGAAAGTTTTTCTTTTATATGTCTTTTGCTCTCTTGAATTCACTGGGGATGGGCAGGCGCATTTTCGCCCTCGCTTTGCGCGCTACTACAACCTGATGGCATATTTAACAAGGAGGAATCTTTGCTGACGTAATTATTTATATTTTTGAAAAATAACTCTTTTTAAGGGATTTAACGATTGAAAGAGCGTCTCGTGTAGCTAGGAAATCTTAGATGTATCGGGCTATATTTCGATTATTCAGTATCAAAATATTTGTAGCTTGGTATGAAAAATAAGAGTTTATGAACTTTCACTTTCACGCCGCTATATAACGCTAAGATGCCCGAGATTATTTAGCTGACGGCCAATTGGTTTGCATTTCAATGCAATGAACTACGTCGTTATTCAGTGCTCTATCTGCAACAGGAAAATTTAGTGAAGGAGAATTGACGGAACTGATCGAACAGGAAAAAAAAAAAAACGAAGTAGATGGAGCGGGAGATCAGACGTAATCCTATATAAATCCTATATATAATTTCTCCTCACAGTATCGTCCTTGACCAATTTAAGAACGTGAAACGAATTCTTCATGTTAGTACTTTAGGAAGATTTAAAAAGAACAGTGTGAAGAGTGAATATGAAAGCGATCTGTAAGGGTGAAAAGGGATACGCCTGACCTACATCTCCCGATCCACTTTCCCTCGACGAGTGAGGGGGTATGATTAAGTGAAGAATTTTTTTCAAATAGGTAAGTCAATTCTCTGTGACATTAAAAACGACTCAAAATGTTCTGACGCTGTCTCCCTAATCAGCTATTTACTTTGTTTCATTTGCCTTCCAGTCTCTGCAAGTAAATTGCTACTACATTGGAAAACAAATATTTCTTGAAGTAAGCAGAAAGAACCATAACAACATTTTCTACTTTGTTAAACGCCAGATTATGCTAACTTGAGGGCAAAATAGCATTAAAGTGCCTCCTCGCTTTCGTAAGCTTTACTTGAAAAAAAATGTACTACTGTGGTTGCTATCATCCTTTTCTTTATCAGTACTTTATATATGCTTCTGCGCTTTATCTTACTCCTCGTCCAGATCAAACTTTGCCTTTGAACTTGTGATACTTGGTGTAGTCTGCGTGCAAGGAATGAAAAAGCTCCCGCGATCCTTTCTCTAGGACAGCGTGTAACAGCGACAGTTCATGCTCACCACACAATTCGAACAAGCAGTAAACACCAGAAGTGAGAGCATCCTGTTAAGAAAGGAAAAAAGGCGTACTGAAAAGGCTAGAGAGATTAAGTAACAAGTTAACTGCTGATGCAAACGGAAACATTTACCTCTCCCCTCGATTGATTTTGCTCTAACCCCGAATAAATATGTCGAAATATAACATTATTTTCTATTCAAAACAAACAAAAATGTTTTCGAATAACCGCAAAAAAAGAACAGCAGGCAGGGAGCAAAACGTTCTGACTAGTTCTTTCCCTTTTCAACTGGTTCTGGTGACTCCTGATTTGCTCAATACCTTCTATCAACAAACAATTTTACCCAACAGCTCTCACTGTTTATCTTACCCTGATAACCGATGGAACAGCAACAGTTTGAACGCCATGAATGTAGTCAGCGATCATATACGGAGAATACTATAAAGGAAAATAACAGCAAATCAGGAAATGCGAGAAATTTTCATTTGCCCTTAGAAGACTCTATCGAGTCATCTGTTAAAATTGTGCACGATCAGGGAGCTTCGAACATAAACTGTAGCTCCTCTTTTCATGACCATGACGTTATTTTGCTTGCTTTACTTACTATCTGCTTTAACTTGGCGTCATTAACCTTATAACCACTAGGAGTGACTGGCTTTTAATTTCTCCTCACACGTTGAAACAAATGCAAGGGTTTTTAGAATAAAGGAAGTGATCATCAATTTAGGAAGCTCCTGAGCGTCAAACAAATTCTCTTTATTGGACCCAGAGGAAATGTAACGAAAACAGTGTGGAGAATATGAACACCAATGCCGGGTGTTAAGTGTTAAGCAGAAGAACAAGATGGAACAAGCAATCACACAAAATATAATCATACCTTGGAAAAGGCGATTTTATGCGTAGATATTTCTTGATATAATCTGGAAAAAAAAAAGAAAAAGCAATTCGAGGCCTTAACATATGCGGAAGAAAGATGCTTGTAAAATTATCAGATCGTTTTAACCTGTGCGATGGTTGATTAAATGATTTGAGTCGCAAAGAACTGCTTATAAATAAAGACATCTTATGGGAAATACCGACAAAACTGCGTTTTGCTGCACATGCGTTACTGTGTTCACACTCTTTCCTAAAAAACTGCAGATCGCTTCGCTAGGCTATCAGAGAGTGATTCTGGAAGAAACATTACGAAAAAGAAAACTAGTAAGAATATTGAACTCGGTCATCGTAAATTATTGTGTTTTTTTAAGCTCGCAGATCAATTATCGATCTCCTCGCCAATGACAAACCGCGATATTTTGCTCACCTATCCAAACTGATGATTATTAAGCTCTGGCAGTTTCAAAGCAATTTTCAATCGAGTGTCGAAAGTAAACCGAGATTGAATTAGCTCGGCTTTACTTTGCACTGTGATTGGTCCAGAAAACTCGCGCTTTAGACAGTTTGCATGTTTTTCCTTTGAGTCCTCATTGGCCCTTCGGGGTATTTTCCCTTCTCCTAATTGGCCGTTATTATTACTTTGGTTTATGTTTTACGGCACCTAAGGCGCTCCATCTACTGACAAAATTAAAGAACGCACCTTGCCATCTTCTGTGCGCTTTGCACTAGTTCAGTCGGTTTCAGTCGTTCCGCTGACGTTTTATCCACATTTCTTTCCACAGCAGCGTCATTTTGAACATCACATCCTTGTATCAAACTCAGTAAAAGATCTAAGAACAAGTTAAGGCTTCATGCGATATCAAAATTCTTAGAACGTAACCATGCGCACGATACGTGATTAAGAACGTGTCCTCCCCGGGTAGATATGATCCCCTCCCCCCTCCCCTTTCCTCCCGTACTCCTCCAGTTTCATCCTCCCCCCCCCCCCCCCGTGTACTTCCTCTCTCTTCCCTTTCTTTCTCTAACCACTTCCCCCTCCACCCATTTCAAATGCGAAGTTCAAACAATCACGCGGTCAAAGGATACTCCGAACACACGTGATAAACACGTGCACAGCTCCATAGACTGCTTCAGGGTGTTGAAAGAGCAAAGTACTTAATAAAGAGTACTGGGACTCGAACAGTCGTGGGAAACTCTTGTCATTAGCTACAAGCTTGATTAAACCACTGTGCAGGACAAGGACTGCGTTATGGGGAAGAACCATTCCCTGAAATTCAGAATGAAAATATAAGTTGATCGTTGAATAAAAAAATGAGTAGAAACCACTAGCTATTTGCCCCTTTGATTTTGCAAAAAAAAAAAGAACAAAAAACCGCGTCTCTTAAAATAATTTTCTGTTCAGTGCTGAATATAGTCTGGCATTTCGTTGTTTTCAATATGTTACGCTCCGATGGGTCGAGAAAACTCGTAACACCTCCTAAACCAATCCGATGACAAATTTAAACTCATCGCGGGCTAGCCACCTGTGTTTTCGTACGCATTAGGGAGTTTACCCGTTTTTATTTTGAGTTTTCGCTACTGGTAATTGCCTTTGTTCGGACTGACTCTTGACTGACTCAGTTCAACAAACACCCTAATACAACATCACGGTGGTTTTACGTTACCGCGCACTGCGATTGTTCTAGAAACCCACGCTGCAATCAGGGTCCAGTTGCATAAAGGGCGGATAACGCTATCCAACGGATAAATCGCTATCCAGATTTATCCAGTGGATGGCGTTATCCGATCTTCGAACAACTGGGGCCAGATGCAATCAGATGCAATCAAATGCAAGCATATACAATCAGTAGATGCACTCATATGCAATCAGACGTAAGCGTTGAGCCAATTATATAACCTGATCGCCTGCGCTAAAGGCAGTTGTCATTGGCTCCTCGCAATATTTTTCACTGTCCTAATTACAACTGAAGTGGATTGAATCATATTTGAATCAAGCGAAGAAATAATTCTCTAAAGTAAACTGTATTTTAAGCAATTGCAAAAAAAAAAAAAAAATTTGAAGCATGAACAAATAACACTGTACTTCGACAAACAGTCTACAAACCTTTCCAAGGGAGAGAATTTTTTCCATGACCTCAGTAGCCAGATTGACAACCATTAGATTTTCACGTTTTACTTCTTGTAATACAGACTGTACTGCAAGTAAAATCTGGTCAAGAAAAATGAGATGCTAGTCAATAATCGACGCTGGTTTCCACTGACTACGTTTGTAAACTTAAAAATAAGTGCAGGGGGGCGCAGATTTAACAGAAGAATTGAACCATTTAGAGAAATTATTTAAATTTGCTTCGTTCGTTTACTTGATATTTTTTTTATGCGCGAAATGTTTTTTCCTTAGCCAATAGTCAAGCCCAGCGAACAAAACACAGTGGGTCGATACATGGTTTTATGTAATCAGTGGGTCTCGGGCTTTCTCTACAAGTGGGTTTATTTAATATTCAATGAACGCCTCTCCACTGTTAGCTTTCAGCCCCCTCGACTGTGTTCACAAAAATATATGTTCAGATAAAAGATCCAGCTAAATTGAGGATTGTTTAGGACGCGGTTTTGATAAACAACGGCTAAACTTTGTTGTAATGACCGGTCTAGTAAGTCTGATTCTAGTAGGGTGTAACTCTTGGTTTTGTCCAACATGCTAAATTCAATGCAACGATCCTTGATTTAAAACGTAAGGAATCCTTTACTAAGAAAGTATTTTTTCATACAGCGGACTGTGTATACAATGCTTGTCATTGATCAAAGGTGAGTCAGACAAACCTTGGGTAGTATTGGGCGAAGTTCTTTTCTTCTGTCTTTGGTAAATCGTCCACTCAACAGACGAAGCCAAACGCGGAGAACAACAGTAAGTCGTTCAAAACAAGCATTACCAATGTTCTTTATAGTCTGATAAAAAAATAGGAAAGAAAATCCAGCTGTGACTTTAAGTTGTCCAAGAAACGGTGAAGTTGGCAAGGTTCTTCAACCTAAAGTGTTTAATGTTAAAAAGCAAAAGATTGACTCACTGCCATGGCTCATAGACGAAGGCAGTTTACTCACAATTTCGTCTCCTAATCCTTCGAGTAGTCCCGGAAGAAGACCAGGATCACATCCTTCGAGCAGTGACACAGCCAGAAGATACCCCTCCTCTGTAATGCTTTCACTATCAGAAAATCTGCCTTGCTCTCTTGTAGACTGTTCTATCTTTTCACTCTGATGGAGGCCGCTCTTCATATCACGAAGGCGGTCATCTTTTTTACGATCTTCAGTACAATTTTTCTTATTTTGTTCCAGCTTCCTCAAAAAGTAGAGCGTCGAAGCCAGAAGTCGAACGCGAAAATCTACCGGTAAATGTAACGCTACACAGGATATACACACCACTCTGAGGAAACGCAGACAGGCACGCACGATTCGATCCTGAAAGGAAAGTGATAGTATGTAATCCTCGAAACCATTCATAGTCACAATTAACGAAACGATATGACCACAATTATCGTAATGTAGTTTTGTGTACTCTCATGTAGCGTTCACAAGTAGCAATTTGTCTGGGAACTGATCCTTTTGAAGGTGCTTCCCAAGTTGTGCATGTACCTTCTGGTACAAGCGCGCAGGAAAACAAGAGAAAAAAATAAGGAATAACTCTCGTACTCAATGGCGAAACACTAAAGACCCAGAGAAAGATAATCGTTTTCTTCTGAACAAGCAGAATCTGGAAGTTTCGCCCCATTGCCAGTTCTGCTATATTTGTGGTACGTTCACCGTAATGAGGGCGAACTGGTGGGGGGGGGGGGCAAACTTGTAATAGGGCGAATCCCCCATAAGCCAAGCGAATTGATCCAAATTGTTCGCCCCACGACATCGTGAGGTGTACCTTGTGCCCATTCGCTGGAAGTGCTGACTCCATCTGGTCCGTCTCGAAAACATTATGCACGACTGCCGCCAACATGACGTCAAATACTTCTTGCCATTCACACTGCTTGAAAGCTTCATTTACACGAATCAATTTTCTGAAAGCGGAATTAACGACAAAGGTAATTTACATACATAACTAAGGTAAGCTTAAAATGAACGGCGAAAAAATGAAATTACAAATTATTTTCTGACCAATACACGCAGGTTTTGAAAAAAACCGGTAGGATTTTCACGACAAGGCTTTTAGTATCTCAGGATAACGCATCAATTCATTTGCTATGATATATGGAAAAAATACTGACAAAAAAGGGCATTGCATGTGCGACAGCGAATTAATCCTTCGGCTCATTCAAGATACGGTTCATTAAATTCCAGCTTTCTTCTAAGACATCTACATTTTGTTTGTCTATCAATTGCGTCAATTTCCTGATACACAAGTATATTCTCACCGCCGTTTAGGTGAATGACACCTTAAATTTTAAGAAGAAAGACCATATATACATGCACATCTGGGAGTTAAAAGGGAAAAAGTCGTCATATATAATTACCTGGACTGTTCGGAAACGGAGTAAATATGAAGCAAGGAAGTGAACGAGTCAATATAGTCAGGCCATTGAAAGAAAAAATCAGATAAAGTGCTTTTCTGAGCATCTGAGTGCTTATTTCTCGGCTTCCGCCGTAACTTTTGAACAATTCCTCTCAGTAGCTCAAGTAGAACTGGGCCAAGTTTTATCACCACGTCGGACGAAATCCTGATCATCTTGTTTGAGGTTATCTTGCTGTTAACAACCTGAGAAAGAAAGATAATTGTGTTTACTTAACGTTTTTTTTAAGGTCGACCAACTTACCCAGGTACAAAAATACTCATCCTATTGCAAGCTTCGGGTTTATTCGAAAGAGTGGATTTACGTTACACAGGGCCAATCAGAGCAAAGGGAACATCTCGAGGAGCCAATCAGAACTTAAAGAAAAATTGAGCATGCTGCGCAAAGCGCGGGAAAAAGCTTGGTGTCTTCGTTTTTCCCAAACCTGGTAAGAGATTGGGCGTAAAACTTCGGAGGCAGAAAGAAATAATACACTCACTTCTTTACACAGCGCCAAAATTCCCTCTACAACGACTGAAACTACATGATAAGAGGTGAGGGATTTTTCCAAAGAGTCTACTGACGCATCCCGCACTTCTGCTGAGAAAGCCTGTAATTCATCTGTTAACTGGAAAGTTTGTAAAAAGTAAAATAAATAAATAAACAAACAATTAAACATCAAATTATGATCCTCGTGACCATACCGAGAACAGCCAAAGTTTGGGAAATAGAGTTGACAAAGGCATACATAAATGAGTGTAACCCAGCTTCAACGAGTTCCGTTTGGGAGTGGCGGGGGGAAGAGGTTTCATCACGGAAAGTTTTAGAGAGGGTTTGCTTACCAGGCCATTCTCTAACCTGACCCTATTTAGGGCAAAAAAACTTTCGATTTCGTTACCCTGTTCAAATTGAAAAACTGTCGGATAGCAGCGTGTTGATTTCGTGGACCCACGTCTACCACATCCAGGGAGAATATTTAGAATTACAATTTTAAGAAAAAAGAGTTATTATTTAAGATATAGATCGCCCACTGCCAAAATTCTCCCCCAGTTCAAGACTTCAGGCCCCAATGTTTACGCTATCCAAGAGGCTACGTGGTAAAATTTTACACCAAAACATCGAAAAACCGCACCGTATTTGGTAACACAAATCTTTCAAGCCAAAGAAGGGAAGAATACCCCTTCCCTACTGGAGCCGTAAATATCCCATTATATTCCCATCCGAATAAGCACTCACAAGGTCACAGGTTCTATTCCTGCTTTCCAAGTGTGCCTGTGTGACTCACTGAAACCACCACCTTTAAAGAGTATCACAAGGCTAAAACATATATGATCGTTACCGTTTCTGTAGTCTTCTGAACTGCGTTGACTGTTTGGAAGGGAGCTCTGAGGAGGTACTTGAATGTAGAGAAGAAAAGATCTCTGGTTTGCCTTACCATGAGGTTCATAGCAGTCACAGTAGCTGGATTCTGTCGGGGAACACACAAGAAGTAAAGTGTAAATCCTTAATTGAAATATCGAATACCCATAGCGATGAATAGTTAACGCATTCACTCCAAGAACTGACCAGCATCTAGATTATCCTAATAATATCACTCCTGAATCATACATCAGGGTCACTAGAATAAAGGAAATGATCGACAAGGGAAGCTCTTGACTGTTAAACAAATTCTCCTTGTCAGCACCTCAGGGAATGTATAGAAAACAGTATGGAGAAAATACATACTGATGTTACGGTGCAAAGGGTAATACACAGGGTGTCCAATCAATTCTCCTGCATTTAGGTGTTTTTAAGCCTAATAAAAATTAAAACGAGTGCTCTGGTTATCACAAACTACCTCGGTAAAGACAAATCGACATCGAACAACTTGTGCAAACATGACAGAAATCTGCTTTAAAAGCTACCTAAATTGGGCAATAACCTACATCCCAAGGAGACTTTGCCTGCACACTACAAAATATTGAAAGAGACATCTATATTGATACTAAAATGATTCAAATTGACTGATGTCATCTTTTCAAGTAACTAATTTAAAAAGAACTGGAATTAAATGTCATCAAGTACATGAACATAACGAAGGTCTATAAAGCGATCCCAACTACTCCAAGATACGAAAATAGTTGATCTGGTGGTGCTGCACACGGCTATAATTTGCAATACGTAATACTATGTAATTCACAGATATAATCATGAATTGGCATTCTCACCGTGCATTTCTGTCGCCATAGTCTGGTAGCCGAACCAATAAGCCAAGAGTGTAGCGAATCCAAGTCGAGCACATGGTGCGCTACAAACTTTCGTCTTGTGACGCTGCCATCGAATAGAACACTAAGGAGATGGCGGCTTAGTGAGAGAGGCTTCAACGTGTCAGGAGAGCAATCCTAGAAAATTTTACAAAGGTCAAATCAGAAATGGAAAAGCGTTCGCTTTTATGATGAAACGCTCTTCGTTAGGTGTCATAAATTAAAACAACGCTAATCACACCAACAAATCAGCTACCTCGATCTATCAGGGTCTCTCTTCCCGCCCCCTGGGAACGAAATCGAGCCAATCAGGATAAAGGTCAACGCTATAAGGAACCATTGAGAACTCGAACTAATTATACGTAAGCAGCCTCAAGCGCGGGAAAAAGCGGATGACTGAGTCGCGTTTTTTTGTTTGATTGTTTTGCTTTTGATTAGTTAAGAGGATGAATTGAATTTTCCTGACCAATCACACCGCAAAATTACTGTCCTCACCTGGAAAACATTAGAACCCAGAAGCACGTCACAAGTAAACAGGCCAATCAAACAGCGAACATGGTTCTCATTAGACAGCCAATCAAGAGGAAGGAAACCCAGAACCTGAAACACACAAAAAAGTATATTTTGTTGTCACTAAAAGAGATTCACCGGGAAAAAACGTAGAATACGGCTCCCTCCATTGCCGACAAAGCAGCCGTCGTTGGGCCTGATCACGCCACGTGTTGCGTGACAAGACTCACTTCAAAGAAAGACAAATGAGCACACTCTACACATATCAAACCCAGAGTTCTAGCCTGCACCAGGCGTTCAGTTGGAAAAACGAAGTATGATGGTACACAGCGCGATAGAAGCAGTGGTGGAAAAACGAGGGAGAACGTGACCCGTAGTAAACCTCTCTCGCTTTTTCACTCCGCCGCTATTATGTCGCCGTTTACTATTTCACGCGTGGAGTTTTCAGCCATACCCTTATATATTGCTGGATCTTTTCAGCTGATGCCGACCAGTTGGTACTGTGCACTTCAGCAGATAAAACACTACTGGATATCTTAGTTATGTCAAAACAGAGAGAATGGAAGGGTTGGAAGTTATCCACTCGTGGTTTGTCACTCTCACGAGTTTCGTTTGCTCTGCTCTCTTCATTCTCGTCTTTATCGTCGTCGGAACTTTCCTCCGCTACAAAGGCAATGAAAAGAATAGTAAATACAGTTTACGGGCTTCAATGGCTAGAATGGAGAAGAAGAAATAGAAAGAATGCGAAAAAAAGAAAAATAGAAAAAAGACATTTGCGTCATTGACATAATATTATATACAAATATTCATCTCCCTTTTATTTTAGACTATAAACACTACAATAAAACCTTTCTACATGACCGACACACACAGGTCACCAAATTGACGAGTCTCATAGTAAACTTAGTCGTCAACCTTTCTACTCGCCAGAATGACCTTAAAGGTCACAGCTCGGAGCGCTGAATGTAATGAAAGAGTAGATTAGAAGACGAAGGGGGGAGGGGGGAGGCAGGGAGAGAAGTAGCCTCGTATCGATCAGCAGACACTTTTAATTACCACTTTGTTCGCCCTCTGAATCCTCAATACTTTCTTCTTGTTCGTCATTATTGGCGCTATCATCATCACACGTTTCTGTCAAAATTCCATCGTCTGAGGCGGCTAACGTTGCAATACTGGATAGAGCTTTCATCAGTCTCTCTTCTAGACTATTAGTACTGCTGGAGAAAAGTCAAAAGACTCAAACGATGTCTTTGTGATGAATAATTTGTAATGGCGAAACTTATCCAGTATAAGAATACCACAAGATATTTTAAGTAGTCGCTGATATTACCTTTCAGTGATAAGAAAAGGCTACATAAGAATTGGTCTTAATTGCGCGAATTCTTCCTAACACTCCCGACTGTCTATCCACTGTGCGAACTAAGTCACCAAGTAAGAATCATTTTTGGGTTAGCCCTTTGAAACCACACAGATGTGCGCAAGATGAAAACGTGCACGCGAAGGTGGGAGGCATGTCCCCTCGTGTGTGCTGTTCTCACAGATAGAGGGAGACTTCCCATACTAAGCAAGTAAAAAGTAACTCTAGTTCCTAAACGAGTGAATCCGTTTTAGTTATGTACGTCAAGGGATAGCATTAACACTAAAACGTCGAGATTTCGAAACTTGGCGTCAAGGCAGTTAAATTTATTTTGATGAACGAGGATGATCAACAAAGTGTTTCTAGTGCCCTCTGAGACATCAAAAGCCGATAAGCTAGTTAATGAATACTTACCATTTACCAGAATCGATAGCATGTCTAAGGCGAACCCAAAGGGCACAGACTGTACTGGACTGCATGGCAAGCATTTCGTGAAAGCTCGCATTTTGAATCAATTCCATCGATACATCAAGCATGGTAATACACCTACAAGAAAAATAAATCAATTGATAAAGAAATGAAGGAACATGAGTACAGTTAGTCTAGGTAATAACATGATTTCGAGTGCAATTTGGTTTTAATAAGCACAAGAAAAGACAAAAATGCATGAGCCCTAGGGGCTCGTGCAATTGTGTAGTGATTGTTACAAAAACAAAGTGGTGCTTTTCATCGCTTGTGACGAATGTGCTGACATGTCAGAGTGAGATTGACCCGTTATCGGGAAAAAGGTTTGGTTCTACAGATTTCTCCTGGTCATTTCGTAACATACCCTAGTTGTGTTTGTCGCGCATCTTGTGTTTCCTGAGTTATAGTCCTAATGATCAAATGAGCAATCTGTAATTGCTGGTCAGCGGTACACAGAGGAAGAATCACCGTAGCATGTTTGCTGATCAAATCCCATAATGCAACTAGGGCATTCTCTTGACTGATTGACCGCTCCTGTTTTGCGTAAAGACGAAAAAAATGAAGAAGAAATAAAATAAGATATTTTATGAAATTACTCTATAAACCAAGTTCAACCACCCATATATTCCTTCGAAGGATCTGGGATATTCTTGAAATTCTAGAAATAATTCTTAAAAAAGAAACCATTTACAATCCTTTTTTCACCTACTTGTCTATCCCAAGATGCACTGCACCAAAGAGTGTCGTTGACGGAACTGCAGACACTAGACACCAATCTCTTGAGCTCATTCCCTTCACCCTTTTTCTCTGCTGTTTTGTTCTCGTGGAGTAAAGCATATCTGATGCTCTGAATACATAGAGCACTCTAGGAAACAGAAAAGACACATTTACTAAATGCTCTACGTGGGAAAGATGGTGGCCTGGTAACTTTCAGCTAGACTATCAATTACACCTCTCTCCAATCCTCTCTCAGCCTATAAACTGTCAGAAAAACCTGATGTAAGTATAGGCGTAACGTGCCCAGGCAGCATTACATCTGGATCGAGTAGGAATCCTCCTCGCAAGCGCTTTGCTTCGAACGACGGTTGGGAGGATAGGCTGATGTTGCCATGCGAGTCACTCTCGCACGAAGAGTTTACTTCACCAAATCATTGACCATTACAAATGGTGTTAGCTGCAGGGATGTACATGAAATCATAGACGTTTGCCTCAATTCCACAATAATCGGGACACGCTATCAGAGCTAGGCGAGTTGACTATGCTTTACCAAGTATTCTTGTCTCGTGCACAATCTTAACCCTTCGTCAACTAGGAGTAACTAACGTCTACTTTCTCCTTACAATATCATCCCTGAATCAGATATAAAGGGCATGAGAATAACGGAAATGATCACCGAGAAGCTCCTCATTGTTATAAAAAAATTCTCCTTGTCATCACCTTAGGAAATGTATGGAAAACAGTATGGAAAATAAGCATACTGATGTTGGCGTTTAGTAAGGAGTTGGCTGAGCAAGTTTTAGGGTAAGTACTTCTCTAATTGCTTAAGGAAAAATCTCACATAGGATGTTGGTATGCCCATGAATAAACATTTATATGTCGCCTTGAACTGAATATGGCCACAAACAATAAATTAAGACAAAACTATCCGTTACAAACCATAAGATAACGAAGTCTTCCTTTGTCTTTAGAGAGAACGGCGAGAATTTCTTTGTTCCGCTTTCCGGGAACAAAATCATTCATCGCATCTATCCACTCGACTGATGGTAGTAATCTGGTTGTTTCATTGTCTAAGTTGGCAATTTTAAAATCTCCCAAGAACAGTGCTAGATCTCCTAGGGCACGTTGTAACAACAAAATAGAGAAACAAGCCGATTCTTTTACCTGGAGCGGAAAAAAAATCAAATAAATCAGTTTAGTTATTGAATTTCGATACTGTGTCATAGCAAAGTGTGTGAAATAACACACACACACATACTAACTCAAGCTCGCACATGGAGCCTCCGTACTGTGATTATAGCGGACACAGAATATGAACTAAAACCGAGCTAAACGACCTTAAATCAGCCCAGGAAACTCACACGACACCAAGGAACAACCACCTAACCGAGGTGAGTTGTTTTTATTAAAAACTAGTTCAGATTTTGAGGTTGAGAGCAACCGTATTTTAGTATACAGTTCCTTATATTTCGCCCATAGCGCAACGTAAAAATATTTACATCTTCACGGAGGCTCATTGTGCGAGCTTGGGCTTCTTGCGCTCAAGGCGCTTGCGATGGGCAAATTTCCACACTACACTCACTCTGTCATGTTGAACTTTTGATGAAAACTCTACCATGGGGTCGAGCACTTCCTGTACTGAACGACTTAACAATGTTCCCACTGCGGATAAAGAGGTTTTTCCCTTTCGATGTTCTCCGATCCCCACAAAACTCGTGTGGAGAAGAAACGAACAGAAGATACTTGAAACATATTCCAATTTTTTCCACACGGCTAACTGTGGCGAGGATTTTTCCTTTGCATTCAGTTTATTTCCTGGAGCTGCTTCTGATCCTTGCAATATATAATTTCCAAGGTAGTTTTCAGTGATTTCATTACAAAATATGTTCCATATCGTGGTAATTTGGCCGAGGGGAAGACCTTGAATAGCCTTGATAAATCTGAAACAGAATCAGAGGATCGATTACTCAATCAAACAATCAATCTATTAATAACTGAACGAAAGAATGCTGGCGTTGAGCACGGGAATCCTTTAGTTATGACGACGGGCTCATTTATATGATCTCGTATACCCGAAACGTGTTATACGCGCTAAACGCGTGTGGGGTGTTGCAATACACGCGAGCGATACTATACCAGTAAAAATGAAAACAAATTGTTGCCAACCTTTGGTTGAAGAATGACGTTAATCCAGAACTTGAAGGGTTCAAACTTCTCAAAGAATCCAGAATTGCCAAAACAAGTTTATCAAACTGTAAGTTGTAACAAAAAGGAAGAGCTACTGCACTAGATATCAAACAAAATAATAAAGCGTGCGAGCAGAACTTCATTATTGGCGCTGCCGGCACGCGCGTTCCTCCGCCCGCGGAAAGATTTGAGTCGAGTTGGAGAGGGTCTACCCTGGCCCTTATTATCAGTGCTAGACCCCTTGCAGGCCTCTCGCCGGCTCGCGTCGCTTAACCATTTAACTCCCAAGATAATTATTAATTCTCCCCTCTGGCTGCTACACATTTCCTTGTGAATTTGTTGCGAGAGTTTGGTGTTAGATCAAGATAACAACTTCTATCTGATAAGTTTGAGTATCCTCATTACCTGTTTGCTAGATAACGTATGTGTATTATAGGGAGAAGTAACACGTTAATCACTTTTGGGAGTTATATCGTTAATAAGGCCCCGGACTTTCCTACGGGCGAAGAAAAACTCGGTTCGGAGTGCTCCTTATGAGAGAATACTTGCGGACTAAAAAGATATGGCTCAGAAATACAGTTTCCCAAAATATCAACCAGTCTTCAATACGGCCTCTGTTAGAGACAAGTGAACTGTGCAGGGTATGTGCTGTACCTGTCGCAGTTTAACATACGTGGAGATGAGAGAATTCATCAAAGAGTTGTGTGCATCACCAGCACTGCATTCCGTTCTCCACAGCATTTTCCAAATAACATCTAAGTGTGGCTCAACCAAGGAGTGATTCAGTTTTAGCAGAACGTCAAGACACTGGAATACAGCTTTGCTGCAAGTAACAACACAAAAAGAGGAGTATTTGTAACGGTAACAAGATTTTCTTGACATTAACGGGAAATTAGAAAGTAGCAGGGAGCAACAAGTTATTTTAGAAATATTCCATGCCTCCGATTTTAAGAACAAGGCCTTTATTGTGAACTAAAAATGATCTTTCTCCTGCAAAAAAAACAAAAAACAATTTCTTTTGCTCAACCTTTTAACCCCAGAAAGTGACTAGTATCTAACTTCTCCTTACAATATCACCCCTGAAACACACATTAAGGTCATGAGAATAAAGGAAATGATCACCAACTAAAGAAGCTCTTGATTGCCACACAAATTCTCCTTGTTAGCATCTTAAGAAATGCATGAACAACAGAATGGAGAATATGCATACTGATGTTGGTGTCGAGAGTGCACCAAATTGATAGTGACAGTTTCAAGACATAAGGAAATTAACTGCCTTTTCAAATACACAATTACCTAGTTTTTTTGAGTATCAAATTCAGAACAATCAAAGCATCTCAAAATTTGTTCACATTCATTTTCATAGAGAAAGATGTCTCTAACTCTTGTCAAGAGTTAGAGACAAAGAAAAAGTTCTGAGTCCCCATGAGGATTTGAACCTCAGACCTTTGGATTCCACACTTTTCATCTTTAAAACTTCAATTCAAGTACAGCATATCTTGAAGTGACAAACCATTTTGTTATATACATCATACATGTATGCTACACAGCTACTGCACTTACAACTCAACACCTACCCTGGTTCCTCTGTCTTAATTATAATCTTGACCAAACTGTCATAAGAGTTGAATTGTACCAAGCCATTCTGGTTGTCATCTGATACCTTGAATTACAAAAAAATAGAGTATCAAACTGAAATCAATTAATAAAAAACTTTAGCTTATTATATGTTACAAAGTAATTTCTATTTGGAAATTTATTTTTGATACTATTTTACTGCCTTCCCTAGACTGACGCAACCCTGAGAGTTTACATCTAGCTCTCCTTCTCTGACAGTAAATGGTGAAATTTACCACCTGTAGAGCCTCTTATTATTGTATAAAATTGCTTGAAGTTCTCGGCAAGTTATTGCCGACATCTTGTGCGTCATTGATGTTCTTGCCATATTCTGAAGTCATGTGCGATCTATTACTGAACAGACACATGGCAAAATGGAATCCAGAGAAAGATGTTTTCATCTTGTCATGAACATGGGACAAAGAAAAGATTCTGAGTCTCCACAAAGAATGACATTCATAATGTCCTTGTTCATCATAGAATCCCTATGGCTCAGTGGTAGGGCATCAGAGAGTGGAATCCACAGGTCTGAGGTTTGATTCGATTCATGGGAACTCAGAATTGTTTCTCTGTCCCATGTTCATGACAAGACGAAAACATCTTTCTCTATTTCTTTACTGAGCTCAAAACTTACCATCTCTTTTATTCTATTTACATAAATGGAATCTATTTTTTGAATAACAAAATGTACATGAATGTACCTGGTAAATATCATAGTGCAGGATGCTTTCCAGCAATTGATGAAGTAAGGTGAACATGCTGGGGGTTATGTTGTTTCCATTCAACACACCAAGCAACTGACACATTTCTGTGAAAAAGGCAAACTCCACAGGAGAGGTAGAACAGTTTGGTTTTCTAGAAAGTAAACAAGGGCATACCACCAAGATCAGCATCTAGTTTCTCCCTTCATTATAACAGCTGAATCAAACATTAAGGTTATGAGAATAAAGGAAATGATCTTTGCCCAGAGAAGCTCCTGACTGTAAAAAACCAAATTCTCCTTCTCAGAACCATAGGAAATATTGAGAGAACCATGAGGAGAATATGCATATTCATGCCACCTTGGGTGTAGAGAGTGGACTGGGTTCTACATCAATAATTATGACTGTGCATGCACCAACCTATTTGATTTGATAAATTCTTTGTATAAAAAAGGAAGAATATCCAAAGCTGCCTCTTTTGTGTCAACATCTGCCTAATTGAGGTAAAATGGCAAAGTTATTACAAGCAAATAAACAAACAAACAGACAAATATTGTCTATATATACTGAACTTGAAGTCATTACCAGGTTCCTCATGCATACAGTGCTCAGCAAAAATTCGCCACCTTTCTAATATTCATCCCAGCGTAGGGAGTGTCTATAGCTCTGTGGTAAGGCATTGGAGCAATGAACCCAAAAGTCTGGGGTTCTATTCCTCATGACAGCTCAAAACTTTTTCTTTGTCCCATATACATGACAACAAAAAAAACATCTTTTATTAAACATAACATTACTTTGTAGGAAACATTCATTCTACATACTGTTGCTTGTGATTCCACCATCTCCCACATCTTTTCAAACAAAAGCTTGGGATAACTAAAAATTCTTGCTTTCTTGTTAGCAGGTTCATCAGATTCAGTTTGTTTTTCCTCTTGGCCTCTGAAAGCCTGAGGATACTCTGCCATGTGATCTCTGCAAGAATTATTTTTAAGGATACTTGCACAAAAATCTGCTAAGTTCACTAGTCTCTAGGACAACATAATTCCACAAGACTGTAACTGTGTATGTATGCACATCTGTAGGTCTGCAAGTGTCTTTAAGTCTGTTATTGCAAGCCTCTCACTCTTTTAATCCACATGTCTGTGTGACTATATATCTTTACATAAGGAAAGCTAATAATCTGAAATTCGGGGGTGGTTTAATTTTACAGGGGATGTCCAAAATTACTGCTTGACCAGCCTATGCCTGCATCTCTTGCTTCTCCTGCTAATTTTTTTGGGTAACAGCTACATTCTTTAAATGTACCTGTTACCCAAAAAAATTAACCAGTTTAGTGAAACAATTTGTGATTCTGACAAGAATTTTGGTGTAAGGGCAGTGGTTAAAACACCCACAGGTATAATGGTTGAGGGGAAGAAACCCTCCCTCAGCATCCACCAAAGCAACTAGATGTCACACAGACCTACTGATTTTCAGTCATGGAACCAATAATCACAATTATTTGCATACTTATGAAAGAGGCATCTGGTTACTGCTAACTCCAACAGGCAAGAGATCTTTTCCATTTTCCCAATTTGCCAACTATCTTCAGGTTGTTGATCTCCACACAGCACCATAGGTTGACAGATCTTAGAAAAGCCTTTGAACATGTGACGCAGTTTGATTAATGGTTCAAGAAGTTGGTGGCACATGGATGTGAACACCTAATGAATTGAAGAATACTTTATAAAGGACAGATTTTAGTCAAAAGTCAGAGTACAACTATGAACAGCTCTAATTTCTACTTGTCTTACCACCAGAAAAAACTTTAAATATGTTTCTTTTTCCTGTGGAAAACATGGAGGACTTTTTCCAAGTTTACAATTATATCCATTCTGATCAAAACAGGGGAGAATTTAGGGAAAGACTTTAAAACAGTCAAACAGATCTGAGCCCCAGTCCATAACATTCAGGAATTCTCCCACTCCTTGAGTCTTCTTATCTAATCATATATTGTACCTGCATTTTTATATAAACCAACTAGGTCATAGTTCATTACCTTTCGCTGATTTGCTTGTTGTCTCTGCACCAAAAGATATTTTTGTAAGCAAATTTCTAACAGTAAGTGAAGCTCTTCTGATCTTTCACTGCATATTTGGAGATACAAGGTCACCAAGGCTGAAAGGAAGGATGCCTAAAATACAGATTTACATGGTAAGATTATAGAAGTCCAGCAACAAAAATGGTAGATTAGACAAAATTTTGTCAAACCAAGGGAATGTTCATGGAATTGACAATTCTGATGAATTTTCACCAATTTGTGTTATTGCCAGCATGAATTTCTGGACATAACTTGAAATCCAGTGATTAATATAGCAAGAAACTTCATGGATTTTGTAGATGGGCTCAGAAAAATAGGTTTACTTACATAACTTTCAAATTTGGCCACCATAGATGCACTGAGGTGAGGTGTAGACATGATGGCATAGCAACAGCTGATAGGGGTGCTGATTGATGCTCCATTTTGTACAGAATCTTTAAACATGAACGCATCTGTAAATACCTGAGAAAAAAAAGGTACCAATTTCGAAATATAATATTTTCACAAGTTAACTATCATCACCATGAGCAAAAACACTGATACAGTATCATTTTACAAGAAAGAAATACCATATATGTAAGGAGTCCAAATGGTTTGTTACTCATCCTGTCCAGTAACATGCATAGCAGTGAAAATGCCACAAAAAATATTTGAAAAATTCATAGATAACCCAAATAATGACATTATCAACATGGGATTTGTAGAAAAAGAAGTCATTTATTTTCTTAATGATTGGAAAAATGAATTTATCACAAATTATTACTGACAATCTTTAGCAGCCAGGTAAATATATAGGATGCATTTTTTAATATAATTATAGGTATTTGTTACACCAAGTATTGCAAATTCCTGTGTATACTCCACTTTAAAAAGCTGGATGATGATAGCTTTTCCATTGTCAATTAATGTTAACACTACAGTGTAAAGTTCAAAATAGTGTGTGTACACCATATAGACACAGATTGTGAATTAGTAACAGTTAAATTAGAGGTGTAAAGAATTTTAATTAATTATTATCATAATGGAATAGATCTTTGATGCAAACAAATCAAGACAAACCTGTATAAATTGAGGTTTTAGAGTGATCGGCAGATTCCCTGGACTATAAAGATCTTCTTGACTCTGGAGAGTATGAAGAAGCAGCAGCCAAAGTCCACTCAAAAGCTCATGATCAACAGACCTATTTTAAAATAACCAAAGGAATACTTCATACATCTGATGTCATTTAACCCTTTAACTCCCATCAGTGACCAAGACAGAATTTCTTCTTACAATATCAATACAGTATCAACCAAACAAGTCACGAGAAAAAAGGAAAATATCAATTTGGAGATACTTAGTTGATCCCATACTAAATTCTCTGAACTAACATTATAAGACTTATATGTTAGACAGTTAGGAGAATTACTAATGTGATCTGGGAGTGAAAGGGTTAACTGCCATGATCTGAAGGTTAATTCTCTTCTACCCCTCAGCTGCACATTTCCTGGTAAATTTGTTGTGAGAGTATGGTGTTAGATCAAGATGACAACTTCTACTTGATAAGTTTAAGTATTCTCATTTCCTACTTGCTGGATTACATCTGAGGGAGAAGTTACATGTTAATCACTTCTGAGAGTTATAGGGTTAAGAAATTCTTGTCAGACATCTTACAATTCTTGTCTAATATTTTTTGATGACTGATGATTACTTCTCAACCACAGATTGAGTTGATAACCGCAATACCCAAGAATATTCCTTTCCAGGGTCACCATTTCTTTTCTCACTGTGATTGCCATATGTTGACTGCAATCTCTTATACAACCCTTGTAACAGACAGGTTACTGATATTCCTTTTTTAATAAATATCACTAGTTCTATGTGTATTCTGAATTGATTTTGCTGATGTGTACATGATTGTCAAAGTTCTTACTTCGCTCCTTTCTTATACCCAAGAGTAATTTCTTGGATGATCCAGTCAAAGAGAACTTGCTGCTTATTTGGAATCACACAATCATTAGAGTCCCAAGCATGCCTTGCTAATGACAGCCTCTCATCCCATGCTACCGCAGAGTCCTTTAACTTGGAATAAATCCCTGAGTCAATAAAAAAGGGAAAAAAGCAGTATTCTTAAAATCAAAGTAAATTTACAGATGTCAAGTTTTTTTTTGCGGTATGTTTCAATGATCACAGCTCAGTGATCTACCAATTCAATGCATCCACATTTTTCTCATAAGCTGATCATTGGCTACTTGTAGTCAAACTTGGACGGTAATGTGAACTTCATAAGCCTTGAAGCCTTGAAGTTAACACCTGCAAAAATGTACTAGAGCTATGCATCAGCTGATTCACGATCACGATGCGCTTAGCTGTTCGCGCATTTCAGATCAAATCAGTTCAAAACAACCTAACACAGATAGATCTCTTGGTTTCAGAGGGTTAGATTTACATGTGTAGTGATAAGTGAAGAATCGATGGCAGATTAGCCTCTGAGTGTTCCAAACACTGCGAACCAGATGAGTGCACGTGGTAACAATAAACACTGGCATTGCCCCCAGTTTTTCAATATTACCTTTTCTCAATTTACCATACACGAATAATGGTCGATAAGTATTTACCTCTTAAGCTTGACTTCATATTTAAGTTGAGAATTTCGTTCTTAAGGACAATCAGATCGATTTAAAAATGCAAACCTTCAAGTCGCAAGTCCATCCGCCATCTTTATTACGGCCGCAAAAAAGCTGGGGAGAGTGAGTAACTGCTGTCTGATCGCGGGCGATTTTAGGTGTCACGCGATTCGAAGGAAGTAACGACCAGGCAACTTTTCCACGATGTCTCTTTCCTCCTATATAATTCTCTTCGGATTAGCCATCTTTGGAATTCATTTCTGGCTGCAAACTAAAAGTTATATTTTCCAGCATGAAGAAGTTTCGCGGATAGCCAAACGCCATGCAGGGAACGGTTAGTTTACGGCATTTACATGTATTTTCCCTAGCGAGGTACTCCTTGCAATTCTTGGACAGAGTATACCTTCCGCTTCCCCAAACATGCCATTTTCTGGACCTACTTTCACACCTGGCCTCTGTTAGAGAGCAAACCCATTTCTAAACCTGGCAACTTAAAGTTGTACTTTGTTTACAGATCATTTAGCGCATGTATCTATGCCGAAGTTAAAAATAGCGGTTAAATTATTTACTCAACAACTTAGTGCGAACAATCTATCTTGATTACCTATCTTTCTCTTGCACGAATATGAAAGGACAATGACGTTTGCGTTGTACCCAACCCCTCACCCAAGGGCAAACCGGGCTGTATACAGCATATGTTACGTTTGACACAGGTATTCGCGTGCAGACACGCGTGCTCGACAAATTTTATAACAATAATTGTAAATATCATCATATTTTACTTTCCGTGAAGAGAAACTGCGAAATAATGATACTGAAATGCATATTTCCTATATCTTGGTGATAAACAACAAATTATTCCTGCCATGAATTTGGCTTTCAGAGGTGATCTTTCTCCTTCAATATGTTGATGGAGATGTAAATATTTTTTGTAGACAAAAACATTCGTGCAATGTTCACAAAGATAGCTCTAGACCTTGAAAAAAAGTACCCAGGTCACATCCTACCTGAAGAGTCAAGACAGTGGCAGTTTGTGAATGCTGGGGGCTGGATGGGATCGATGTATTTACTGCATGCGTCTCTGACCGAATACGTACTATTCTTTGGTACAGCTGTTGACACACAAGGACATTCAGGTGTAGTATAACATGAGCTACAGCATTTTCATTAGCACTATAGCTAAGTTGAACCATTTTTACATGCAAGTTGTATAATGCAAAAGTTTGCTAGTAAGCAGCATGGGTTAGGCATTGCAACCTCATTCCAAGGGTCTTCTCTATTCCCTCCTCCTCTCTTGTAAAAGGACCATGGTTGTAATGGATTACAAGCCTCCCAGAATTTGAAATATTAAAAAAACCAAATAGAGGGAGGTACCCAAGCATAAAATTTAGTAATCGCTTACTTGACAAAAAAGGGGAAACTTTGAAAACGCACTTGATCTTTTCTCCTACAGATAGAATCTAATAGCACTACAAAACTAAGTTGAGGACTCACTCTCCCCTTTGTAGTTTTGGCAGGTCCTTTCAATAAGGATCCTTTCTTGAGAGAAGAACAGAAAGAACCCTTTAAACAAGCTTGCAGACATTGATTGTTGTTTGAAGCGTCATTTGAAGTTGAGCTGACTGCTTGAGTTAAGACAAAAATCAAGATCAGTGTTAGCAACAGCAAATTTATTCATTCCATAAATTTGAAATCTCTTAACTCATTTAGCTCCCAGAAGTGACTAACATGTAACTTCTCCTGTAACATCCAGACTTAACGCAGCAAAACAGGTGCTGAGAAGCATCAAACACATCCAGTAGAAGTTGTTATATTGATCTAACACCAAATTCTTGTAACTAATTTACAAGGAAATAAGTAACAGCCAGAGGGGAGAATTAACAAACAGATCTTGTGAGTTAAAAGGGTTAATAGTGACAACTCTCTTGGTTAAGCTCTTACACACACACTCATATTGGAATGAAGGGGTCATTCCCATTTCTCATAAACTCAAGGTACTTGAACATTCCTCAGTATATTACAACACTTCCTGAGGGCAATTTAGAAGCTTCATACCTCAAAGGGAATTTAAAAAAGGAACTCTAATGCATATGTTGATGATGATGATGATAATTTATCATACTTTTATTATTTCAGGACTCTACTGGGCAAACATTTCTGACACGGTACTAGCTGGCTCCCTACGTCAGTGGAAGGATGGCACCCTTGAAAGTCAGGTGTATGGTGCAGGAGACCTTGTGCTTCATGGCTGGGGTGAGGTTGCTGCTGTGCAATTTTCGGCTGGAACATGGATGGTGGAATATGGTCGTGGCTTTGTTCCTTCCACTCTTGGGTTTGCACTGTGGGATTCCATCTTTAGTACACTGGACTTTGTTTCAGCTTCAAAACTGATTGCAGTTTATGCAAAAGCCCTGGTTCGTGAAACTGCATTTCAAGTACAGGAGATGATTGAGACACTCAAGAAAAACATGAAGTCGTAATTTTTTATGGAGAATTGGGACTTATTTAATGATTATTAATCTCATGATGTGAAAAATCTACTTGCTGAAGATGTCATGAATGAATCTTGGATATTTGAAACAGACCAGCATGCATGAAATTTACTTTGTTTCGCATCTTGCTGTGCACATAGACCGTGAGCAGACGTCCCTCTTCTTCGGCGAAGTCCTTTACGCGAGCCAAAAAAAACAAAAAAAACAAAAAATACAGTAAAAAAAAAATTGACCTTAAAGGGTCACAAGAGCTTTGGGAGTGATGCGCTTGAAAATTTGACCTCCTGCGCCGCATCAACATCAATTTTGTGGTTGTTGATTTTTTTTTGGACTCGTGCGACAGACTTCACCGCAAAGAAGGGACTGCTCAATCTCTTATTGAACAATACTTTTAGGAAATATCCACACTTAAAAAATAACATCAACCATTCGAAAAACGAAGCAAAAAACGTACGAATTTCTTACATTTACGAGATTACCTGACTTGAATTACTAAAACTTACGAGCAGAAAACTGCGCAGCTTTGAGTAGAAAATTATTAAAACTGTACGATTTCAAGACAAAAAGTTCTATTAAACAACACTTTTGGGACATGTCAACACCTCAAAATGGTATTTACTGTTCTAATGAAGAGTCCCCAACTTCGCAAAGCCTCATTTGAAGTCAGATTTAAGCATAATAATTCGCATCACTTTTGGGAATGAATTATCGTTAACTCCAAAACTAATTTTTGTCGTTTGAAAGAGCTACATGCTCACTGTTTTTTGAAACGAGAATTATTTAGCATATTTTCTTTTCATTTTGAGCTCCAAAAGGTCTGGCTCAATCGAGATAGAACGGCAAAACAATCTGGGAAGTTATGAAACCTCGCGGCTAAACTCGACGTGAATTTTCAGCCGAAGTGAAACTTCACACTACACGTTAAGGAGGCACGGCCGGAGTTGCGCGCGCGCGTAGTGGAACCATTACTCTCGGGTGTGATTGAAAGAGGTCAGTGACACAAAGATTACGTTTATGTTTGTCGAGGAAAAATGTTCTTGTCTCCTCGTAGACTTGTCATGGCTTAGAACAATAAAATAAGTATGAGATTCACAATTTGTATTGAAAAGAAACTTCATATTCATTTCATTTAAGTAGAAGCAAACGCCAGGCGTGTTCTAGGTTTTCACGAGTGGAGTCAAGCAAATTGAGAGTGTGCGAAAACGCGAAATTTGTGGGAAAGCGAAGAAAAATGCGACAGAGCGTCCCCTTCCTCATCTCTTTTCCTGCGCTCTTGTTTCCGCTCGTTATAACTAACTGAGGGTCTGTTATGGTCTTAGACCGAGCGAGGGCGAGGAGCGCGTCGCGTCCTGCCCCTCTCGCGCGTCACTCGCCTTTCACACTCACCTCGCGCCTGCCTCTGCTCACCTGATAAATCCAAAAGAAAGGACGATGGCTGCCCTACATACAACTGAGCTGATAGCTGAACAGCGTGCTCATTAATGGATTGTTTAATATTTCAGTTTACACAGACTGTTCGACCTGCCAGATTTCCATGAACGATTCTGCCGATCAACGTCTTCAGGGGTAGATGACAATTCTATAATAGTTACAGCATATGGCAACGTTTCTTTCCTTACTTTGATCATTCCATTGTCTTCATATTTGGGGTCTTTAAAAAGGAAAGTCTTGCTTTTTGAAGCAGGATTCGCTTATCAGAGACAAAGAGACATTCTACTGATTCAAGCTTGTAATCCCATCCGAGGCGAAGGGGGGATGGGGGGGGGGGGAGAGGATGGGGTTGGTGGATAATAATACTCTGAGGGGTCACACAATTGTAGTCCTAAATAAGTTCGTGACCCTAAACAAGGTAGGGTTTTCGGAACACTCGTGTTCCCAGTCGGACACTAATTTATGACCTTTTACGTCACCTTTTAATCAGGTCGTCTTTCCAGGAGCACGCAATTCTTGAGTAGGATGCTGATGTTGACAGAGCACAGTCTGCTTGAACTGTTATGAAATTTCATTCTAAATATTCTGTCTAAATACATGGAGGTTTCCAAATTTTGGCAAATCAGGAAATTCTGTTTCAACTATCCTATTATGGAAGACATGTCTGGATAAGATCACCGCAGCAATAATAATAACCTTTATCATAAAAATTACAATTTCAGACTCCTGCTGCGCGGTCGTTCGATTTTAGTGTTACTTATATGATTACAGGCCGAATTGGACTCCACTTAGTCCTATTACCATTGTTTATTCAAGCGAAGTTTACGACGTCTGAAAACAGACGCCAGCTCTTGCAGAAATAAGAAAAGCCTGCTGATACTGCACCAGCAATACTAAAACCACTTTTTTGTTTATTTGTTTGTTTGTTTGTTTTTTTTTTTGTGAGACTGATAAGCAAAGTTCCACAAAAAAACCCGACGGCGGTGAATGTACGATTCACTTTTGCACAATAGAAATTTGTGCGAAATGTTTTAGTTTCTTTTAATGGCTACGTCTGTGATTGACATGTCTGCCTATCAGTGAAGTTTTGATAGAAATACATGTGTTCGGATGCGACCAGACCACCGTTAAAAATTGGAAAAAACTTTATTTTTCCAAGAAAAACATTGGAAAACAATTTTTTCCGAGTGCAACCCGGTCATATATACCACATCTGCGGTGGAGAAGAGGGCTTCAGTGCCCCACCCTCATTCAAACTTTCCTTGTACCCTGCCCCCCCTCCCCCCTCCTCCTTATCCATTCCCAGAGGAATACGACGCAAACATTAGACAAGGAAGGACAGATGACCTCTTTTTTTATTTAAACTCGGGTGTTTTAATTTTACTCCTCCCTTTTTCATTAGGTTCTACTGGTGAGTTATCGAATCTAACAAAAGTATTTTCTCGGTATTTCAAGGAGTGTCCTCAAAAAGGATAACATCCAACGTTTCCTTTGGTGTGTTTTTGTACTTAATAAACACCATTATGTAATTTGATTTAACATATGGAAAATGAATCATTCTATAAATGGCGACTGGCAAAAATCCTAGGCTTGGGAGATGCCGAGACACCGTTTCTGAATATCCGCGACAGACATTTAAAAACAATCTAGGAAAACACCCTAACATTCAATGCTCTATTTTGATAGAGCATACAACTTGACGAGTGCACACAAAAAACAACAACAACAATGAAGAAACAAAAACAAACACGTCTGCCCGCGACTATCATAATCGAAAACCAAACAATAGCAACATTTTATTTTGACAATTGGGGAGCTGACAGAAGACAAAAATATAACATATCGACCCGGCCGGCCTCAACTTTTCGATGGCACTCCTAATTAGTTTTAAATGATGTTTGTCAAAGGTCAACCTTTTCAGTATTGTTCTCCAGTTTTAAAAGCCTCCGCAAACACAGCGGAGCTTCTGTTTCTAAAGTTCCTAACAATAGGCAACCAGAAAAGAAATTTCTCAAACGGAAAAACCTGTGGTGATTTTGCAGTCAGTTAAAGCGATATTCAAGACGGCGATGGTATATCGAAGGCTCGTCAACTGGAAGCAGACAATGGATGAAGAGACTTTGGACGACAAAAACACACATGATAACTTGGCGTGGCACCAGAGATTTCTAGGATATTGCTGTCACGTTATCTCCTTTGAGGGATATTCCACGTCGGGTTTAGTCCGGTTTAAGGTGAATGGTTTCATTCGATTTTTTGTCTTAAAGAAAAAACAAACAAACAAATAAAAACATAAATGAGGCAAGAGTTGGGAGAAATTTGCAAATACCCGAGAACCTGACTTTATATTTTCCTGATTAAAAAAAAAGAGGAGAGAGCTACTAAGAGGTAAACATATGCTGATGAAACACTTGTGGCATTCCAATGCTCCCGCATATAAAGTGCTCAAAACAAAGATAAAACCACAGAATGAGGATTAAGACTCTAGATAAGAAAACTCTGAGGATAGATCGAAGACCGGAATTGTATAGTCTTTGTTTAGCTATCACTGTTGCTGTTTCTCTAAAGATCTCTTTGGAAACGCAGCAGCTCAATCTGCGCGACATCTTCATGAAGATAGCTGAGGACATTTCTGTTCTACCAGCTTGGGTCAAAGTTCTTTGATTCGTACAGTTTCATATGACACTATCTAACTATAAAGGGCAACAAAATGTTTTTACATACCGGACATTTGGCCACACCCAGAAAGGGAACAAAAACCATCGTGTGGGCAGTGTGAAGTATTTTAAAGAGTTCATTGTTTACCTTATCGATTACATTAATTACCCATAAAGTATCATCTGCAAGTTTAAAGCGTCATTTACCTCGCAGCGTCGCCGGGAGTAAAGCTTTGCGAAAGTGAAGAATCCTTGAAAAGTCTTGCATACAGAGACGAAGATGACTGCCAAAGTTTTCTTCTTCGTTATTGCCGTTCTATTTGTGATGCAAATTGAAGCTAATCCTCTGTACGACCGAGATTTTTTTCGGAGACTGCACATGCGTAAGTACAACGAATATAATGTCGTGCAATAAGGAGAGCATTTTTCCCTTTCAACCAAACCGACGTACGTTTTGAACAAGATGTGAATATTGTCAGGGCGTACGTAAAGTGCGCGGAGCTAACAATTGTTATAAATCATATGCGATACATTCTTCCTGAAAATGTTAGACGTACCTTCATGAGATGGATGCGCCACAGTTTCTCACAAATTGTCTCAAGGGGTAGCAAAATGAAGGCGAAAGGACGGACCTTTCCTTAAACATAGTCAGAGTTTAAAGAGTTCAATAGGAGAACTTTACCCACCTACCCCTCCACCCAGTCCCTTCCCCCCCTATGTCCGCTGCGTGTTCTGCAAATACATTGTCTGCAATATGATAACATTCAAACGCTGAAGTTAAATTTTCACAAGGACCCAGCGGTTCTGATGGTTAAAAGTTTTTTTAAAAAATTAATGACTTTGAAATCTCGGCTGTCGATCAATCGATTAAGCCAAACGCGAATGACAATCACCGCGACATGCGAGGGAGAAGTCACACGCGCTAATGTGTATCTGCTTTCTCGCGCGCGTTTACTTTCGTTCGCGCCAAGCGTCTGCTCCGCAAACAACCATACTTCTTGCATAGCATCAACATCTGTATATCCTTACCGCTGTATTCTTTGCACGAGATACGTATATTTTTTAATTCGAATCTTTCTTTTGCCCTGCTTCATATAATTATTGTTATTATTATCATTATCATTGCTAGAATATTTCTAATTAATTCTTACAAACAGAGCCAGTGATGGACGAACACCCGGATGCATACGCACGTCGACGGCTAGGTAAAGAAAAACGAAAGAAGGAAGGAGTGGGTCATTAAAATCAGAGGAGAGAGGCGAGCGGAAAGGGAAGAGAATTTAGAGCTTTTTTGCGCGCCCTCACATACGCGCGTTTTACTTGCTATTTTGCTGATATTCGAGACACTTTTGTTGCTGTTGTTAGTTTGTTTGCTTTTGTCTTTGAAATTCAAATATTTCTACAAGTTCTCCTTTCCTTACAAATAGAGCCAATGATGGACGAGACTCCAGATGAGTACATTGCTCGACGTGAAGGTAAAGATGTTGTTCCATATCTTTCTCGTACCTGCATGTCAACGTATACAATATCGAGTAGCGGGACCTAACCTTTTCCGAAAGGGATAGCCTTTCAAAGCGAGGCACAGAATGCTAAGAGGAACAATTGATATGGTTTACAACGTAAGAACACGCGATTCAGTCGACGACCATCAATATTGATAAAAGGGCAGAAGCAAGAGTGATCTGGTGAGTTGCAGGCAACCATCATTGATCAAAATCCGAACATCTAATCAAATGGGAACGGTTCGGTCTAACAAATTTTTACGGTGACAAATTTCTTCAGGCAAAACTGACTCGATAAAAAAACGACGCAGAACATGTAGCAACCATTAGAAATAGTTGTCCAAAAACAAAAGCAAGTTACGTGTGAATAACATGTCGAACCGCGCTCCAAACCAAGCTAAATCATGCCACAAACCTGACCCAAAAACTCTTTTCTCGTGATGAGACCAGTATGCAGCATAATAAATCTATTATTGTTATCAATATTTTACACAAAAGAAAAAAAACAAAGTAAACAAAAACAAGCATTCTACTACTCAATACACATTTTTTTCATTTTTCAGAGCTCATATACGGCAGGGGACTCTGTGAGAATGAAAACAAGGCGTACTGCGAACAATGGAAAGCGTATTGTGACCAACCCGCTTTTTTTATAAATGAAAATCGCTATAAAATGTTTGTCAACAAGATGTGCACAGCGGCTTGTAACAGATGCAAATAGGTATGAATTAACTCTAGGGGATGACTCTGAGCTCCTGAAAAACATCCCCCTTCGAAAATTTCTTCAAAGATGAGTCTAGAAGTGGTCATTGCTATCGATGATTTAAAACAACAAAAGATTAAATAAACCATAGACTTTAATGCTGCATAATAACCATAGACTATAATGCTGCGTAATTTAAGCTATTTGGGTCATCACTGGGTATTTAATTGATACCTGGTTTTTTTCATAACACTATGATGTAATTAGGCTCAGTCCTCTGGCGTGTGTGTTTCGGTGCGCCCGCGAGAGAGGATTGCCGGTTCACCGAAACAACACAGCGGTCAAACGAAAGGCATGCGCAAGTGAATCAATTTTAGTCAGGTACGCGCCAGTTTCCCCCATAAAATTTCAAAGGAAAACATGAAAACAACCGCTGTGACGCCAAATATGGGAAAAAAAGAGAAATTAAACGTTCAGTTAAAATTGTAAGCGGAGAGGCGTTAAGGGAAAATTAATAGAACAGTCGAAACTTTTCACACACATTACTTATAAAGGTACAGGTTTCCTCATTAGTTATAATTTACTTCACGACAATTTGAAAATCAACTTAAGCTTCCTCGCTCATGTGGTTGTTCATAAGATAACTCGGTCCGTAGCCTGACCTCTACAACATCCGCACATGCGCAGATGTTTGACAGCTGTTTCCACCGAAACACCCTCGGCTGAGTACTGCACCCCGCGACGAGTGTTGATCCATCAAAGAGTCTGCTTTGAAAAAAAAAATACGAAACCATTTTGAGACAGGGAAGGGTCGTTAAGCAATTGCATTTTCTCCCTTCTCTGATGTTTTGTTGATTTTATTTTTTTTTAGGTAAAGACGTGGTCCTTTTCGTAGAAACACATGGTTTTGATGCAAGTTTTTTTCAATCTTGTCGAGGCAAAATGATTTGTGATGCAGAGTAGCTGTAGTCGATAGCTTCATTAGATAAAATTCATTTTTGTACTTTATGGCAGTACATCCTTGTAAGTAAAAATGTTGATTTTTGATTAACAATTAAATCCTAATTACAATAATTGTTACTGTTATTTTTTTTCTTACCGAAGGATTGGTAAATAAAACAAGGTTTGCGAAACGCTTTTTTCCATGACTATTTATTGAATTGTAAAGCTTTGAAATCGTTGAAAAGGAGCTGTACTCGACTTTGAAGTCCGCCTTTATTCCGTAATAAAAATAACTTTTACAGAAGCAATTCACCTCCTCTACTCTATGGTTTTATCCGGAAGGAACGAGACCATTTGCAGTTTAACCCTTTACCCGTAAGATTGACCTCCTTTTTATTTCTCCTCAGTGTCACTCTAAGTTAAACGTGAAGGTCATGACTGAATAAAGGAAATGATCACCGGTTCAAGAAGCCCCTGATTGTCAAACAAAATCACCATGATTTTTCCATAGGAAATATAGTAAGAACAGTGAAAGACAGGGAAAATTAGTTGAGCGATTTTGGATCTGTATAGTTTTGCTTCACATCAACCTGTGATTTGTCTCGAAATCTCGTGCCACTCTCGCAGCCCTGAGATGGTGAACAAAACCCGACGTGACTTATACACAATAACCCATTGCCATTAATTTTGCATTGAATTGGCTGTTCGACCTAATGAATTTGTGACTTCCAAGTCACAACCGTGTTTTAACAACGTGAATGCTGCATGGTAGCTATTTGAACTCACGGCCATGTGTAACGGCGTCACCTCGTCTCGATCAGTCTTCAAACTAGCGTCTGCACCAAACTTAAGCAACATCTCTGTAAGTTTACCGTTGTCATTTTGGGCAGCATAACGGAGAGAACAACACGAGTCCAAGTCTCTAGCCTTGGCGTCACAGCCAAGTTCAAGAAGAAGTTCGGAAACATTTTCTAAATTCATTCTAACAGCTATGAGAAGAGGTGTCTCCCATCTGTCATTCTTGGTATTAACATCAGCTCCAAACTGAAGAAGAACCTTAACAATTTCCATTGCGTGTGAATTGTCTCTATTATCAAGAACACAAGCAAGGACGGTGTCCCCATTCATGTCCTTAAAATTAACTTCCACACCCGTTTTTAAAATAGCACGCATAGAGTCAACGTCCCCGATTAGAGCTTTTGATTTCAGTAAGGTATCGTCTCCTTTGATCTCGTGAATAACATTTCCATCATCAGAGAGATTGATTCCGCCAAGTTTGTCAACAATGTCTTTAAGATTGTGCTTGACAGCGTATGATACAAGTGACCTTAACACACCCCCCGGGGTGGTAGTATCTGCTCCTCTGTCTATCAGAAGCATAGCAATTTCTCCATTTCCTGTCTTTAAGGTGCAGTACAGGGGAGTTATTGAATAGCCGGGTGTGCAATATGAGTCAGAATCATAATCACTGTTGCTACCATAGTCATCATAGTTGTTTTCTTCCCTCTCGTGGTTGTAAGTGTCATCATCATCGTTCTCGCTACAAACATGACCATTAACGTCAGCACCTCGGTCCAAAAGAACTTTGACAGCTTGAAAGTTACCTTCCCTGGCAGCTGAAAACAGAGCTGTTTCTCTGCGGTGTGCGTCAGGGGCATCTACAGGCAAACCCAGGTCGAGAAGGAGAGTCAAAACATCTACAAAGCCTTATTCAGCAGCTATAAACAGGTAAGAGGGGACAAGAAAATCTGGATTGGACCCTCTTTGAAATAAAATTCTTGCAGCCTCAGCTTGGCCACAAGTCAAAGCAGACCAAATTGGTGCATCACCTTTAGTCATCCCAGTTTCTGCGTAAACGTTTGCACCGTGATCTAAAAGGTAACCGATTGTCCCACAATGGCCCTTTGCGACAGCATTATGCACAGCGTATCACCACTTAAGTGCCTTAAGTTTACGTCGGCTCCGCCGTCAACAAGAAACTTAATCAATTCGAGACTAGACGCCATAGTCAGAGCTTTGTTTGTCATTACATCAATCCTTGGGCCTCCTTTTGAGATAAGAAACTGCACTACATCCACGTGGTTTTCTTTAGCAGCATAATCTAGAGCGTTACAACTGTCCTCATCGCAAGCATCTACATCTGCTCCATTATCAATAAGTAAGCGAGTGGCTTCTAAGTTACCCCCCCGTGCTGCTAACATAAGTGGAGTTCGAAGCTCCCGATCGAAGGCGTTTACATTAACATTATACTCAAGCAGAAGTTTTATTACATCTGTGTGTCCATTCTTTGCCGCCAGATGCATCGCCGTTTCATTCTTAAAGCTTGTCTTAGAAACATCAGCTCCAAACTCTATTAAGCGCTGTGTATTTCTCTCATTACCACCCATTACAGCACAAAGAACAGGAGTAAAGCCGTCGCCATCACGAAATTCAAGAAAGGCGCCACTCTTGATTAGAAAATCTATAATTTCTTCTTTGTTAAACCTGACTGCAAGCATTAGAGGACTTGGATTGTCCCCAATCAAACTGCTTTCAGGCAACCGAGAATTGACATATTCGCCTAAATCTAGTAACCACCGAAGATGTCCAGAATGGCCCTCCATAGCAGCCAAGGAAAGGAGGGATTGAACTTGGACGTTCCTTGTGACATTTTCCAAAAGTTCGCTGATCAGTTTAAACTGCGGAGAGTTCTTCTACCTCAAGGCCGTTAAAATAGATTTGCCTCCAAAATTTGACGCATTTGGAGCAATTTTGACCTCAAAGCTATGGCACTGTAAAGTTTGTCTGGACTGCATTCCATAATGGTCTTCACAGTCTCGATGTCCCCCTCAATACAAGCCGCGTGTAGAGAGCTCAGGCCGCTCTCTTTGATTGGTGTGGCTAACGCACGCAAGGCCAGATACTTCAGTGACAGTTAAAATGCGTACAAAAGAGTTTTTTTCAATCTTTGAATATGAAGACAGGTAAATCTAGGTAAAGTAACATCACAAACGAGCTTAGCGACCGTATCGGGGGATTTTTTTTGGTATAGATTGAAACCCGGCCAGACTCTTAAATTACTGTCAAACACTCTGCCAATGAACTAAAGAACTCTAATGAATAAATCAGTAGATGCCATTGACGTCTATAAATAACTGACATCACGCGTCACGCGCATCTACAAGGTTGACTCTCTCAGGATCAGGGTAAGTATCACTGCATCACACCTGAACACAGGATGATTTTCACTTTTAACCCTAATAAAGCTACTGTTTTACCATAGTAGTAGTTGGCTGATGAAAAGATGCGAATTATTTCCGAGCTCACTATCATTTTCTCCGTTAGTAAAAATTTTTTGTCTTAACAGGCCATCTCTATAAATCTGAAAATCGATCGCAAGACACTTCCAGTCAAGGCAATTCAAGTTTCTTTTTTTTTTCGATGAAATATGAAACTGAACTTACCAATGGAATTTTTCAAAGTATGATCCATAGCTTAGTTTTCGAAGGTTCGAGGGAAATGGCTCCTCTTACATGTACCTGAAGGGGTGCGTGACAAAATCGAATGTCCCAGAATCCTTAGTGATATGCACAAATGTTTTGGCTGGGTAACCAAGCCAGCCACCATCTCGGCCACGAATTTGATGGCAATACCGCGAGTGAGCTTTTGCTATGTTTCATTGTATTCCATTTAGAAAACATGGGTGATCGTGGTTGGTGAAGCGATAGTACTATATCAGGGTCTCTCCGCCATCGCCATCTGAAAATGTTTAACGCGCTAAAGAAATGGGCGAAAGGGGGCAATGAAGATTCCAAACTCAACACTCCTTTGGGAGTGCGTGCGATGGGCCAGGCGTTACAACGAAAGTTTGCCCGGGGCGTTCAGTATAATAGTAAGTTATGTAGATTAAAAAGTTATATAGATTAAAAAGTCACTCACTTACCTCTTTTTGTGTATTTTATTGATCGTTTATTTGATCTTTGGCCAGATGGTGTCTGTAATCTTGTTGACCTTTTTCTCGTCTGCCCCTGTTGTGTGAAAATTTCTAAATTTAGAACACAAAAATCTTCTCTTACTTTAATTATTGCCACGAAAATTTGATTATTTCCTATTTCCTGTGGTAATTCATAGATCTGAAATTCATTCAACTAACTGCTTATACTGTATAATGTTATTTTTGTATCGCTGATTTTGTTTCTGATCTACCATACTTTGCAACAGTTTCTGGAAAAATCATCACATTATTATTATCTTGTTTCAGACACTGAATGTTGTGATCTTTCTGAATAGTTTTCGACAATATGAATACCTTTCAGTTTCTCCTTAGTCTGTCACTTTTTGTTTATTTGTCTCTACAGTTATGAAATTTAATTCAAGAGCAGTAAATAAAAGAATATTTATTTCATACATACTGAACGAACGACTGTGAAAATTGTATCGTTCGTCCAATCAGAGATACGAACGATAGTGCTTCACAGTTGAGGGCAGCAAACGGCTTCCAATCTTTGAAATGTATCGTTCAGCGTGAAAAAATCATAGTATGTATGAAATTAAAAAACATCATACCATGGAAAGTGCTTGAATGATTTTTAATCACTGGTTGCAATGCATCAAAAAACTCATTTGTTCACTGTATTCACTTGTTTGTTTTTTTATATATAGCAACTTGTGAATAAAAATCATTCATGCGTTTTTCCCATGGAATAACGTATATATATAGATATATAGATATATATAAATATGTATACGACACATTTTGCAAATTTATGTAATGGAGTTTATTATCATCATCATTATCATTATATTATTAACATGAAAGATTATTGTATTATTGTTGTTAAAATGGTCACCAAGATCCAATTTCAAAATTATTGATGGTAATCCTGTGACCTCAATGTTTGATTCAGGGGTGATATTGTGAGGAGAAATTAGAAACTAATCACTCTCAGGGGTTAAAGGGTTAAAGTTTATCCATGCTCAGCTATAATAGGAACGAAACTTCTGATTGATGTTAGTAGTAATTATTTGTATATGTGAAAAAAAAAAAAAGGAAAAAGAAAATCAAACTACATGTGAAATTGTCTTGATTCTGATTAATTATACCGTGCAAAGGAATGCAGAAATACAAACTTTGTTTTTAAAAATTTTAATTC